GGTACCATACTAATGAATCGTAGATTTGCTATGAATCTATTTATTTAGGAATAGAGGAAGTATTGCTCTAACTATGCATTTAGATAAGTATACTCCTATTAAAATGGAGCTATCATCCACTATATAAGATCGACGCACACTCGCCCTTAAGTATTACCTATATCTATTCCAAATTATAATTTATTTTAGATTTGTTATTATAGGATCTCTAGTTAGTCTAGAGGGGGTGAATAGGTCTATCAAAACAAACTTGAGCAAACATCAAATTCAACCCGTGGCACTGCCGAGCTGCGGCACTGTTGTGCCAGAACAGCGGCATTGCCGCATCTATAGACAACTTTGAGGTATAATTCAAAATCTATGAAAGAAAACTTAGATAGGAGAGAATACTGAGGTTCCTACAGGTATGTTGATCACAGATCGACAGCAGAAAGTAGTAGCACAAGTGTATATAAGTAGATCGACCTCAAACCCTAGAAAGCACCTCAACAACAATATGAAATGTAATGAAGTAAATCAAGCACAAGGTGACACAAGTATTTATCTCGTGGTTCAGCTCGCCACCAAGGCTTGCCTAAATCCACGTTGTTGAGGTTAGTCACTAAGGCTTAGGGCTTTACAATTCCTTCTCATTTTTAAGTCAAGAGAGTTAACTCTTGAGATGAGAAGTGAGTTTACTAGCTTTAGGAGATGGTTACAAACCTCACGGGGCTACCACACAAGTTGACAAACTCCATGGGCGACGCTCTAGCCGGCTAAGAGCAAGCTCCAAGAGTAACAAACACAATCTACCAGCTAAAACGCGAACCAAGTGCTCTTAGGCTTTTGGGATCAATGGATCTGCTCTCTAATTGAGTTTTATAGCCTTTTCTCTCAAGGATTGATGGGGAAATCATAAAGGAATGCTTTGGAGCTCAAGGTCACCAATGGAGAAGAGAGAGAAAGAGTTGTTGGGCGTTGGTCTACTGGACAGAAGAGGAAGAAGAACCGTTGGAGGGGTGTGTGAGAGGTATAAATACCCCTCAACCCCCAACGGTCAGTTAAGTCGCGGCAGTGCCTCTCCTCACCAGGCAAGACAGTAAGGGTGAAACATTGAAGAGCTGGCTGTCTTGACTGAGTAAATGAGGATGTAGGAGTGTAAGATTGAGCACTTGGTTGCACACTTTAGCAAGTTTATTATGTCCCCCTTTATAGTACGCCATTTCTATACTCAAATTCAAAATAAGAAAGAATTTAAACCTCCTTTGAGTTTTAATCCATCATCATTTGTAATTGGGGGCTCCTCCATTTCGTAAAACATCCTCAATTCTAGATTCCCTGTTTGTCATCTTGATAAATCTCATTAGTCCTCTAATTACGTGATCATTATCATCAAAACCCATAATTAAGGCTTGATTGCACTTTCAGTCTTCCCTTTTTTATGATTGATGATAACCCAATTAGAGCTTACAAATGATATGAAATATAACTAAGAATTGTCGAGACATGGGTGTAGAGCCTCCCCTAAACGTGTGAAAAGAGAATTGAATTCTCAAAATGGCATAAGAGGCCAAAATTCACACTTTTAGTGAAAGTGATGGGGCTCCCCCTACATCCATGCTCCTATGGGGTATTGCACAATGTGTCAAGTATATAATCATGATGCAAATGACAGTTTATGCACGAAAGAGTTTGCTGTGATAGCTAGGTGCGGCACTGCCGCTCCTTAGCCACGGCACTACCGCAGAGCGACACAGCGGGGCCAGGGGTGCGGCACTGCCGCACTTACTACAACAGCACAGATCAGATCAAGCACCACACAACAAATTATATATAGGTAAAAGAGCATCCTAGCACAAATATATGACAAACTACAGCATACAACAATACATGTCCATATCCGATACAAATAGAGTACTTAGGTAGCATTATTACACAAATAGAGTTTTAAGCGGCTCTCAAACTCACACCTAACAAACTAACTCTCATCGAATTATGACATGAAGCTCCAGCTGCAGCGACCACCATGGTGTCGAAAAGAAGTTGACCCCTCTAATTTTCTCCCCTTTGATATAAAACACCAAAAAAAATAAAAGAAGAGAAATCAACCAACTCACTCATCATCATCTTCATGCTTAATGTTCTCCCAATCGATGCCATCACCTCCATGAGCAGCCCCACCACCATTGCCATCATCGTCGTCGTCGGAGTCAATCCTCGCTCGTCCTTGGCAGTGAGTAGTAGAAGTGAAGTGGGTGAAGCGGGTGGAGCATCTGGTGGTGTGACATTGAACCTTCGCAATCGAAGTGTCACCCCATATGTCCAAATCCTCATCGTCCTGCTCCTCCTCCTCCTTCTCCTCCTCTATATTTGTGTTGGAGAGGCTAGGAAAGTCAGCAAACCTCGGCGGTGAATGAGTTGGAGGAAGGGGTGGTAGCCCTACATGCTCTCTAGCCTCCTAGTTGGCCTCCCGGTTCTCCAACCGGTCCTCATAGACGGTCCTCGCTGCATAGGTGCAAGTGGTAAAGATGACCTTGATCCATTTTCCAAACTTCTTCATCTTTTTGCCCTTGCTAGTTCTAGAGCAGGATGACTTGGGCACATCCTCAACTGAAGGTGAGCGTCTCACTACCTTGCTAGCTCCTGAGGATTTGGTCTTCTCAATCTTGTAGATGGTGTGGAGACCGTCTTTGTCAAACCGGTGACCCTCTCAATCATAAACATGAGATAAGGAGCATAGGGCATCCCCTTTCTCCCATCCTCCATGGCAATCCTCAACTCACGCCACATGAATTGAGGTACATTAAACCTGTCACCTCTAGGAGCAAACCGAGCAAGCACATTTCTCACATATACCCATTAAGATCTGAAGCTGCTCCATCCTTCGGATTGATAGTGTGATTGATCAAGTTGTTTATGATGTAGTAGTAGCTTTGCAAGCCACTAACTTTGCCATCTGCACCTTTCCTATCAATCCACATGTAGGCAATGTCTCTGATCTCGGCCCTAGGCTCATCATGAATGTAGGTGAAACCCCACTCCTTCTCACTTAAACCAAGGATCCTACTGAAGGTCACAAAGTCAACACGATAGTGTCACCCCTCAGTCATCCAATGTATCTCATCTGTAGCTAGGTCATAGTAGTAGGTGGCATGGAACTAGGGTAACACCTCCTCATTCTAATTGTATCTAAAACTCATGAGACCAGAGAGCCCAAAGTGGTCACAAGCCTTGATCACTTTGTTGAATTTAGGCTCATTCTTTGCCTGCAACTCCTCCCAATCAACATATTGCATCTTGACAATCTTGGACTTCTTGGAGTTGAAGATCACAGAGGTATAGAAGTTGGAATGAAACTCATTCCAAGACCTATAGTTGACCCCCAGATCCTTAGGCTGCTCATAAGGATTCTCATCTCGAGCATCTTCCACCATCTTCTGTTTTCCCACATAGTTGATCATGGGATGAGGACGGGAATCAACCGGGCGCCTCATGAGCACTTCCTTAGAATAATCAGTGATATAGCTTCCATCAAACTCCTCTAGGTGAGGAGTATTGGTGCAAGCACCAGGAGGAATGGTGTGGCTAGCCTTCTCCAAATCCTCCTCCTCCCAAATCAACTGTTCTCGCTTCCCCCTATCTCTGACATCTCCCCTTGCCGTTGCCATCTACTGTTACGCCATGACCACAGTGAGGGGCTTGCTTGTCATGAGGTTCGTCCATCTTCCTCTTCCCCCTCCGATCATCGTCTCCACCTGAAGCCATCTATGTAAAATGATAGAATGAAATAAGAAACTGCTTCAATGGTGGTTAGGATTCAACCTATGAAACAGATTAAGTAATCAAGAAGAGTCAAAATGCAAGCAAGGAAAGCAGCTGATATGACACTGTCACCAAACATGCGGCACAGCCGCACCAGTTGTTTTACCAAGACTGTATTCTACTTCTTCTTGTCTACTTAACCCATTTCACAAACTAACTCCTAGCCCATGTCACAATCTCAATAGCCACAATTCTATCAAAACATGGACTTAGGCTGAAGATTTGAAAGATAGTAGTGTGAGTGGAATAGTTGAGATTTGGTGACTAAATCTAATCAATATAAAGAGTCATGGATTGAGTGGTACCGCAGTCTGTGAAAGCAACAGCTGCAGCCTACGGCATTGCCGCGACCAGTATGCTGCATTGCTGCGTGGACATAATCCACTCCACTAATGAGTCTCCATATTGATTCAATTTAACCATCAAATCTACCTCCCACCCATCCACACTATTTCTAGAAATCAATCTATAACCAAGAGACCTCCATAGCATAGATCAGGAAGGATTTCGGGTTTAACTTGGTTTCACGTGGATTGAGGAGACAATAGAAGAAATGGCCTCGCCCAAGAACCTCAGCAACCATCGACAACGCATGAGAAGACCGACAGCCGGCACAGCACCACTAGAGCGCAGCATAGAAGCCGCAGCGATGGCACGACGATGCGGATGTGCACGGGAGAGAGAGAACGGCGTGTCGAGGTGAATGGGGAGAGAGGAGTAACTGTAAGCCAGAAAGGTAAATGAGAAGAGATGGGCCCCGCAGAAACTGCCATTGTGGGCTAAATTCAACTTGGAATTCAAAGTGCGGCACTGCCGCATGCCACTCACGGCACAGCTGCACTCCCGTGGAACTATGCATAAGGAACATTACTAATTGCATGAGAGTGGTTTTATCATAATACATGTGGCACACAAATATTTATTTCGCCTATACATGTGGCACACATATTATTATATAATCACACAAACATGACATTGCAAAATCACATAAACCACAAATTTCCATAATCATAGCAAGATCCACATATTGTAGGATGATTTCAAACATAGTGCTTGTTCAGATCAAATCATAGTATATGTACATAACGATATGACTCTAGAAAGCAAACACACATTGTCCATACTAGAAAGAAAAATTCAAGAACTATCTAGGATTCATAAAATCCATTGCTTCTTCTTGTTCACATTGATGTAGGAATTCAACCATTAATCATTTCAACCTGCAAAGAAAATGTAAGTTGTAACATTACAAATTAGGCCACATGTACGTTGATGTAAAGTTAAGAAAGCTAGTTTGAACATACAAACATCGAAGGCCAAGCAATTGGGACTCCTTTGGCTTGAGCATCACCAATATTGTTGCACCTAGACACGGGCCTCACTAATGGCTCATCTTTTGCTATAGCATGATTGATACACACTTTGTAGATTTGAGTTCCTATCTTAACTCCACCAACAATGGCTTCTGGATCAGTGCTGAAGAGAGTTGCATAGGCTACATTGGCTTTATTAGGATATTTTGAAGTCATTAATAGCACCATGGACCCAGCCTACATTAATTTGACATATTCTCTTAGTGACCAACAACCATTAGTTGTACATCATGATCATGCAATTAGAACAAGTGTATTATGTTCATCTACCTTTATTAGAGGAAGTTGTTTAAGTGTTTGACACTTGTAGCATGTAGCCTTGTCATGAACCACCTCCTGGCGTGCAATGGTTGTAGTCTCTTCAGGCCCTCCGTGATGACCCTTACAGATATAAAATGAAGTATGAAATATTAAGACAAAAATTCCACTATCATTACATCAAAGTGTGGTTCATAGATACCTTTTGTTTCTTTGTTGTTCTACTTGTGGTGGATAAAAGTAGACTGTCATCATCACTATATTCAGACTCACATGTTTCTTTATTCTAGTAAAGAGAAAAAAGACAATAGCATGAGTTAATATAAAAAAATTCTTTGTGGATAAAATAAGCATTAAATTCACAAGAAAGTGACTTCACCAATTCATCCCTATGCTTAAGGAATCCATCATTCTGGTTGGGTGCAACACAGTGAACTCTCTCAAAATTTAAAACAATATTAAAGCCTGAAGACTAGATTAGGTGAAAACATGGAAAACAGAGCAAATACCTTTCTTTTAAAAAGCACCGCTTGATTCTAAGAATTGTTATGATCACTCCTAGCACAATATCCCTGAAAAAGATATAAAGTTTGAGTAACACATTTCAATATGGAGTTACAAATTAAAATGTATATTGTTACCATTGTTGCTTCTTGGTTCTCATGGTGCCTTTGATTGTTTTTTAGTTCTTCAATAACTTTATCTTGCATTCTAGAATGCTTTTTGAGTTCCCTTATTTCATTCAACATGTGAGTCTCTACATCAGATGATGAGCCATCTAGTGAAACTATATTAATGTCCTTAAAATAGTGTGTTCTTCGACCATAAACTTGTTTAGGAACTGGAAGCAATCCCATGCCGTGTACTTGTCCAGATTTCTCTTCTCCCAACACCTGATGTAATACATCACCTTCCCATGCAACTCCTCCCTCACTATTTTGTGCTAACTCTAGTTGTATGTCTAGGAGATTTTTCAGTTCAACCTACAAGCAAGAAATCCGCACATTAGAAAACAGAAATAATTTTATATTTGCAAAAATTCTCTTGTGCACGTAGCATACCATTGGTTCATTTATCCATTTTCCCCTTTTCCTGTGAGTTGCGAGGTAAACCTTTGCTCTATGTGGCTGTTTTTTTCAGGATCAGCTTGCCTCTAAATAAATAGCAGTAAAGGAAAGTAAAAAGAATCATATATAAATTTTTTAAACACAAGATGACTCACCATGTCTTCAGACCAACGAGCATAACTCTTTGTACCGCTGTATGTGTTGTCTTCTTCATTTCATGACTTATTTTGTTCTTCTCACTTAGGTTCTATAAGAAAAGTAAATTAATAGATAATGAACCATTATACATATAGAAATCAATAATGGTATAGATAGTGATAGTAAAAAAGGCAAATAGCGTCAATAATGGTGCCTTACTTGTCCTTCGCTGGACTTCCAATATTTTACTAGGACCTTCTATTGATCTTCATCGATATCATCTGGACAACGCCTATTCAAAACTGACTTTTTCTTCTTTAGATTAAATAGTGTCTTTTTTAATGTTGCCTTGTATTTTCTCCCATCTCTTCCAATTGATTTCAATAACATTTCTCACATGAACGAGGATATAAGAACTTTGTCTAAAATAAGAAAGTCACAAATGAATGAATTTGACTTAATGACATGATAACAAGCATATATATACTTAATCTTTTAAAAACATTATGTCTTGTAAAATTTAGCTAACCTGGACGAATTGAATTATCGTTTCTGCATTGTTTTCCTTAACTTCTCTCCAATCTTTGGCACCAAAAGGACAGTAACCACCATTTCTTGCTATGATGTCCAAAAATTGCCCTAAAAGGCCACCTTCATTTCCAATGGGTTGTCCAAGCATATTACATCTTACTACTATCCGATCTCCTTCAAGTAGATCCCAAACATGTGTTAAAATGGTCCCCTTTCGCTTATCGGGTACTACATTGCCATCACCTATTTAAAACAGAATGATAGTGATAGTAACCGGTTAAGATGCAGTCCATATGAATGAGATTGATCTAACTACATTTGTACCTGATGTGTTCTGGTTCTCGTCATCGTTCCGCTCAACCTCGTTAGCATATAGTGCTTTAGTATGCATTAAATTTAATCCTTTCTTTTTCTTTGTACCTCCTCTTCCTGCTAAACAAATGTTGGGGACATGAACACGTGTTTATAGTAAATATAATAAACAATATATAATATTTTTATTAAACAACTAGATATTTGTATTAGACTATCAATATTGTATTTATTAAGTCACATACCACGGTGGGGTTGGATATACTAATCTTGGATGAAAATAAATCATCGATAACTAACATGACTTGAAATAGTTGTCCTTGAATAATCAAATATACATAGAAAATTAAATTATATGTTCATTCTAATACCTTTATTTTTTTTGGTTTAGATTTGGATGGTTCTTTGTTGGACTTGGTAGACGCTAAAGTGGTCAGTCTCTGCATCGTCACAAACAAATTAACTGTCTTTTTGCTCTCACACTCGTTGAGCATTTTCATCACATCAGAATCTTGTTCGATTACAACAAGAAGCTATCTTTTCTCATGTAGTATAGATAGTCGACTGATGTGTACCCAGAACCCTCGATCATATCAATCAAGTCGAAAAAGCATATCTGATCTCTATCCATTTGCTTTGCACATGTTTATGTCCTTCAGCTTTCCCATCACATTCTAGATTTATGGTCCAATTATCCATCGCCATGGTAGCACAATCTAAATAAAATTTAGTACCAATAGGAAAATAAGAATAAAGCATGGGATAATTCACAAATAAGAATCAAGTATAACCGAATAGTAACAATTAGACTAAAGTGCATGTTTGTAATGTTATTTGAACTTGGAGCTTGAGAACAAGTAAAGTGCTATGGTTCAGATAGGATGGTCTATAGCATGTGTTCAGTTAGCTTCAATAAAATAAACAGGCTGGCATACCATGAAACAATCGAGCAGTAAGTATTTCATTTGCCTGTGAGAGCAAATGAAAGTTGATGCATAAGTTGCCGACGCAATGCTACCTGCTTACCTAATTGTCGATGTGCAGCGGCTGAGCTCCTCCTGCTATTATTGTTTTGTAGAACTGCTCAGTTTTCAATGCAAGAACACGAATTGCACTAAGCCATCTCTAATCTGCAAAACAAATTGCTAATCAAATATTTGCTTATATTGACATGTCAATTGGGTTTCTCCCACGCGATGATGACTACTAATCACAAGGGAAAAAAAGAACTACAGTGAATTGCTGTGATGATTAGTCGACAATACCCAATTCAATCACAAGTAGTGGGGGGAAGGATGCTAAATAGAAACTTACGGATGGAAGGAGAAAGCTAGCATGTGTGTATGACTGTATGGTGCCCCTATGCGTATGCATGGGTTAGGTTATTGCTTCATTTATGCTTTATTTTTTATTGAATTTATTGATTGCGTGGGGAAATTATCAATTTAAATCTGATGCCTTGATCACTGACAAATCCAAGCTAGTATGGTTGTGGTTCTACTGTAAATCATTGAAGTAGTATATTATTATTGTGGGTAATTAATCTGGGTTTGCCACAAGCCCACAACAGGTCAATAATTGATCTCCATTAGCTGGTGGTGTTTCTAAAAGATAAAGCAGCTTCCGAGTCGTGCATCAGTCTGCCGCGAGCGCAGGCCGTTGCCTCGCCGGCCGGACAGGAACCCGATCTGACAACGAGAGGGAACGAGAAACTGGGGAGGGGATTTGCCCTGTCACCGCCATCACTGCAGCCGCACGGACCTCCTGCGGTGTGCTCGGGTGACGGCAAGACGGGAAAGGGGTGAGGAGCTAGAGGTGGCGGCGCCGGATCGGGAACCGCCCGTGTCGCCTGAGAGCGAGCGACGCGGCGGCAAGAAGTAACACTAATCTAATAGCGATGGTTTGGGCGCACGGTTTCGCGCAGCAGGAAGGGGGGAGAAGGAGTGGGCATACCTGGTGGGTGCTCATCGCTGGCGAAGGGCCTGACGAAGACCTGGGCAGATGGCGCAGGGATGCGGCGGCGGTTGTACAGTCATCGGGTCGTCGCCACTCGTCGGCACTAGAAGGAGAGGGCGCGCGTAAGGTGGGGTGAACGGGAGAAGAAAAGCCAGGCTAACGTGATGAGCCTTGCCTTCCGAAACAACGTGATGAGCCCCTTGCCTCCGATGGTGAAGATAAAGCTGTGGCCGGAGATGAACCGGAGGGAAGGGAGCCGCCGCCACGCCGACCTAAGCGCTTCGGTCAGTTGGAGGGAAATGAGGATTGAGGACGGCCTTCGAGTTTTTTACGCTAGAATAGATTATTGGATACGACCGAGTCACCGAGAAGTGCTACGGGGCGGCAAATGGATTCCTGGAACGGAAAATTTGGTGGGAAATAATGGCATCGTTCGCTTGTTGATAAGTCATGGTTGAAAGTATCGTTGGTTGATTTGTTGTGAGAAAAAAATACTATTTTAACTAAAAAACAAGCTAAAAAGTACGGATTACAAGACGAACAAGACCGATTTCAGTCAATTTTTAAGGAGGAAACCTAATGTTCCACGCCTCTTGATCTGAATTTCGGGTGCTTATACATAAAAATATATATCTAAAAAATATACTACTAGATTTCATTATTTTTATTAATTTTCTAATTCTTCCTCAGCTAAAAGAAAATTTGATGGACATCCGATAACAGTCCTTATATCTAAAAGAGTTAAATATACTGGTGGCCCTTAAACTTGTGCTATGTGCCATTTAGATCCACGAACCATCAAAATCGAAATTCGTCTCCCTAAACTTGTTAAGTTGCGCATAGCAGGTCCGTACTCCTTGGGTGCATGGTGACTGGATAAAATTTTTATAAAAACACCCTGCCATGGTCATCTTCTGCCTCAGCACTCCTTCCCCGTCGTGCTCAACATGTTGGCCAACGCCACGCGGCTGCTGCTCCCGGGGAAGGTGCGCATTCTCACCGCCGACGCGTTGCCGCTGGCCACCATGCTGCACCGCACCGAGTCCATCGGCTTCGAGGTCACCCACAGTGCCGGATCGACCGAGATCGCGGTCTTGGTGGTGGGCTCAAGGCGGAAGCGGGAGGGAACAAGTCGCCCACGTTGGAGCCTTGCCGCACGCTCAAAGCGGCGAGCGTCGCGACGCTTCGGCATGGCCGAGGTCGACATCGTCGACGGCGAGACCGGCCGCAGCGTGCCCCGCGACGGGTCCACCATGGGCGAGATCGTGCTCCGCGGCGGGTTGCGTCATGCTCGGCTACCTCAATGATGAGAAGACCACCAGGGCATGATCATCAGCGGCGGGGAGAACTATCAGCAGAGTCGAGGTGGCGTCCGTGCTCTACAACTACCAAGCGGTGAACGAGGCGGGCGGTGGTGGCGAGGCCGGACGAGTTCTGGGGCGAGACGCCGTGCGCGTTCGTGAGACTCAAAGAGGAGGGGTTGGGGTCGGGGTCTGTGCCGAGCTGCCAAAGACCTCCACCGGGAAGATCCATAAGTACGTGCTCCGGAACCTTGCCAAGGAGATGGGGCCAACCCGCAAGGGCACCAGCAGCAGCTAGCAGGTTGTAGTGCTAGTCCTGTGCCGTCATCTTGGCATGGACATGCCGACATGGACATATGCTCTGCTCTGCTGTAGCTTTGCCGTTGCAGCATGGCATTGGCAGACATTCATTTTCTTGAGATCATTAGCAAGCACTCTTACCGATCCTTGGAAAGGATTTCTGATAGTGATACCACTGGTTCCCGACATGGTGGTGGTTGTGGTGTTTGACGCGGAGGTGCTGAACCAGGAGGAGCGCATCCCATTGCAGACTTGCAGTTCTTGTGGCCCGCTGAGGAGTGGACTCCATGTTCGACCTCAATGCGAGCCTCGTCTGCTTCTGAGGGCTCCAGTCTGGCGGGCGTCCATCCACCAATCACCCAAAGACAACACGTCCCGACCGCGCGCACGCCAAAAGCCCATGTCCGTGAGCGTGGCCTCCAGGTACCTCTCGCTCGAGGCGGCGGAACGTGTTGAGCACGAACCCGGAGCCAACGAGGTTTCCAGAGGTAGTTCCACCAGAGGCCTCGGAGACGTCGGAGAGGTAGTTCCATCGGAGGGCGGAGGCCGCCAGCAGCTGCGTCCAGCCGCAGAAGAAGTCGAAGAGCAGGCGAAGGCGACGATGAGCGCCGAGGGCAGGTGCTTGGTGCTCTCGACGCCCGCAGGTAGGGCGTGGTGGGAGGGGAACGAGAGCGTGAGCGCGCGGACGACGTCAGTGGGGGTGTGCGGACAGGAGCTGTGGCGGGCGTGGCGACGATGGTCAGGCGGAAGCCGGTGAGGTCGAAGAGCGTGAGCATGTGGACTGCGACTGTCTGTGCCCGCGCGCGTGTGGCGGGCTTGCCTCCTGTACCTTGCCGTCGCTGCCGCAGTGCCAACTCTTCAAGAATGGCCATCACGGCGTCCACGTCGTACTCGTACAACGTCTCCCAAGGGGTGGGGAAGGAGTGCTAAGGCAAAAGATGACCGTGGCAGGGTGTTTTTTATAAAAATTTTATCCTAGTCACCATGCTCCCAAGGGGTATGGACCTGCCATGCACAGCTTAACAAGTTTAGGGAGGCGAATTTCGATTTTGAGAGTTCGTGGACCTAAGTGGTTCAGAACCACAAATTTAAGGGCCGCCAGTGTATTTAACTCTATTAAAAAAATATACTACTAGATTTCTCTATCTAAGTTACTTTATGAGTAATGACTACGTATATTGGTTTTGTGATAATGTTAATAATTTTTATCAAATTAGTCTATTTTATAGTAATGATTAATATTAATTTTAATGTTAACGTTAACACATAAATGATTTTT